TGGCTTTTGCCTTGGAACTCTCCCATGGATGCCGTTTTTGCCCAGTCTCTTTCTTGTTGTTGAATCATGAACACTGACCTTAATTGAGGCAAGTGATGCCTGCAGTTCTTTAGATGTTGTTCTGGGTTCTTTTATGACCTCTTGGATGAGTCGTCGTTGTGCTCTTGGAGTAATTTTGGTTGGCCGGCAACTCCTGGGAAGGTTCACCATTGTTCCAAGTTTTCTCAATTTGTGGATAATGGCTCTGACCATGGTTCGCTGGAGTCCCAAAGCCTTAGAAATGGCTTTATAATCCTTTCCAGACTGATACATGTCAACTGTTTTGATTCTCATCTGTTCTTGAATTTCTTTAGATCGCGGCATAATGTGTTGCTATTTAAGCATGCTTCACTTTGTCAGACAGGTTCTATTTAAGTGATTTCTTGATTCAACAGGTCTGGCAGTAATCAGGCCTGGGTGTGGCTAGTGAAATTTAACTCAGCTTTCTAAAATAATGTGGTTAATTGCAGTTCTTTCATGATTTAACAGGAGGGGGCAATACATTTTTCACGTAGGGCCACGTAGGTTTGGACAGCTTTTTTCCCCTTAATAAATGAAATCATCATTTAAAAACTGCATTTTGTATTTACTTGCATTATCTTTGTGTAATATTTAAATTTGTTTGATGATCTGAAACATTAAAGTGTGACAAGCATGCAAAAAAATAAGAAATCAGGAAGGGGGCCAACACTTTTTCACACCACTGTGTATATAATATACACAAATTCCACATTTACTGTTGGCTGGACAGCAAAACTTTGGCTTTAGTTCGGTTCTAGATCTGGTGCCTTAATGTCAATACCATGTACGCAAAGTAATGCCATACTTAACCTTGACAGCACCGGCTAGCAGCAGCCTAATATGCATGAACACAGACTTTTATTGCTTGCTTTATTAATTTTACAGGCATTTGCCTTCATTAGACAGGGCAGTAATGCACAGATCTGATAGTTACCTTTTCTTTTTTGATGTTACATTATGACTTTGCTCACTGTTCTACTGTGATGTGAAAAGCAACACACTGCAAAATGCTGGTATTGTGCTTTTTTAAATATTTGTTGGTTTACTGGTATGCCACACTAACCTAGTTATTCTGATGTGGCAAAAACACAAATAGGGATTTGAATTTTGAAATGTAGAGTATATGGTCTACTTTTATGTTGCACTTTTCTAATTTTTGGCGATTATTGCCATGTACTTTGGGTAAAGTATCTCCTATAGGTGTCCCAATCAGTGTTATTTTCACACTATTTACAGTATGTATACAGTATTTATTAATATTTTAAAACGCTTTCAATTTTATATTTTAAGTTTTCATTTTAAATTTTAGTTTAAGTTTTATGTATTTATATTTTCAAATAATTTTAGTTTTAGTAATATTAGTATTTCAACTTATTTTGGTTAATTGCCAGTCCATCTAATATTTATATTTTATTACAGCTTTATTTCAATTATTAAAAGTGATTCTTTATAGTTTTAGTTAACAATAACAACACTGGTTGCAATGCAAAAAAAACAACAACAACAACCATTCAATCATGTTCTTGTAGCATGAAGGTGTGTAAATGACAGAATTTAAATATTAGGCAGAACTATCCATTTAAAGAAATCCTACTATGAAAACTTCCTCATGCATTTGACCTCTGTTATCTTTATGGTTGCTAGGCATTCAGTGCACATGCAAAACTCTGCAAAAAAAAAAACGGTGTTAGTACATTGTGATCATGATGCATCAAAAAAGCTTCCATTAGGAGTGTTATGTAGCAGCAGGAGACTCAAGACAATTACAGTTATGAACGCAATCTATTACTCCTATCCGGTCTTAATTCCAGTCAGCCTACATAAGGCCAGTCATTAGCTCTCAAAGCCATTTATTTGGTGTTTGAAAAAAAAAAAAGTAAATCCATATCGCCCTGATTTGTTGGCATTATCGGACAAAAGCAATTCATTTACAGAAATACCGTTGTTAACACTGCTTAGATTCTTGCCCTCATTTTATTTACCCCGTTGTGGTCACCCTACGCATATCTGCGACTCATTGAATGCACAGCAGTTTTGCAGATAATAACATGAGCTTCTCAATCTCATTCTACAGCAGCTGCCATCAGCATTGCTCCTCAATAATCCTCTTTATTCTGACAAACTAGCAGCACTTATTAATGGCGCCCTATCAGCCAGCCCCTGCTGAGGACGGCCAGACAAACACTGGTTCTTGGCGACATAAACAACCCCAGCTCCTTTCCCATCTGCTTTTGAGTGGTTCGTTTTCTGAGAACATTTCACCTCAGAACAAACCAAAAAGGAAGAGCGCACAGTTGACACACAAACAACGTGTGAAAACAGCCACCGTCTAAAATGCCTTTCAAACCCTCTACAAAATGGTCATAAGCGGTCTTACTAAGGAAAATCAAATGCCACCTCATTTGTCAAAATCTGCTTGATTAATAAAAATGAATAAACATGTTTATGGTGAGCTTTTCTGCCACCTGCTGGACAGACTGTGTAAGTCTTTTCTCAAAGTTAACCAAATCCATCTAACATTCAAACTGAAAAAAAATGCTACAAGTAAAAACCTGTTAACTGGTTAAAGGGAGTTCCCTTACTACATATATTGAGAAATTGTATTAGATCTAATCTTGCATTTAATGCAATTTTACAGTTGCTGTAAAATTACAGCAATACTGTTAAATATAGTTTCTGGGAGTAAAAAATAACAAATCATCTTATAATTTACAAAGAAAAAAAGTAAACTGGCATTCCCAGAATTCCCTGTGTGACTGCTCACATTTGATGGCATTTTGTTTAAATAATTGTTTCTTAATAGTTTGTTATCAGTAGGGTTTTATGTTACATCACATGCTAATTACTGTTTATTGCATTATTGTGTTACCATGATGGTGTTTTGTGCTTGTGTTTATGACACTGTGTGTGCCTTCTACATTAGTATTTACTTGTGGAAAAGCTATTTAGGATTAACTCTGATTCATCATGTAGCTTTCTTTTTATGTGTGATCATAGTGGTTGTCAGTGCATGTTTAAAGTTCAAAACAGATGTTAGCAGCAGTGTGGCTTAATTCAGCAGAAAAGGACTGTTTGATTTACTGGTTTAAAATGTCAATTTCTTCGTAAATTACAGTCTTAAACTAAAATGTATAGGTTTTGTAAACATGTTTACATTTTCACTGTATTTTTACAGAATTATTCCTTCAAAGTTGCCATTTTTTTCTGTAAGTACAGCGTAGGCTTTACCATCCCGTGTGCAAACACAAAGGGCCAGATTTACTAAACAGGGCAAATTAACGTTAGAGTGCAATTCCATAAAAGCGCCGATGGGAGGGGAAAATTCTGTGGGTGATTTACTGATAATGCGCACATTAAAGAACACAGACGCAGTCAGATCATTTCCACAATGACCAGCTCAATCTACCAAGAGCAGCGCAAATTACTGCCTGCTTTAAGACATGCTTTTTTTGAGTGTTAAATAATGGCGCAAAGACCAGTAATAATGAAAATCATGTTGCGTGATTCATTTTAATACTCTCCTCCCATAAATTTTGCATCTGAAAGGGAAACTCCTACAAATGCATATTCAATAAGGTCAGGTGCAAAAATAACAGTCCACTTTTTAGCGCTAATTCTTCACTGCATGTCTTTAGTAAATTCTGACAGTACTATTATAATGCCAAAAGACGGTTAGTAAATCTGACCCTAAATTCTAGAACTTCCTGTGCATGAAAAATGTTCCAAAATCCCTCTCACTCTTAAAAATGGGTCAGATAGGGCACCGATCAAGTCTCTTGAACTCTGACCTGATATGTAGCCAGGACAGCATTGGCGTGGTGCCTCCTCCAAACACCCAAACTGTGAAGAACACAATGAGCAGGGTCGTGGTGAACATCATCTGCCGCGCGTATGTGGCAGTGTCACGGATAGCCAGAGCGAATGCCATTGCCCCTCGCAGCCCTGCAGAGCACAAACACGCACAGAGCAGTCACAATAGATTTTAGTAAGAATGACAGCCCTGCTACAAATAGAATGGAAGTGCACTTAAGCAGGCAAACAGCCATCACACTCGATCAGTTGTGTTTTAGGGGCTCTGCACTCTGCTGCCCTTTTAGCTGGGTGGTGTTGCTGGTCTGGAGGGAGCTGCTCCACATCAAGAGCTGTTCTTAGAGATGTTCTGATTCTGATGCCTCATTTCACTCTTAATTTAGATCTCGATAAGCTTCAACAGGGTGCTGAAATCTACAGAGAGTTCAAATCAAAGAGTCTGACACTAAAGGATGCTACAAAACTGACTGCACCGATTTATATTCTACGTCATTGTGTCATGCAAGCATCAGAGAAGAGGAAGTAAGCCAGGTGTGCTCACCACCTTACCTGCAAACATCATCATGTGCTGAAAGTTTCCCCTGATTTTGTGTCTTCGGCCCAGGTTAATCAGGAAAGACAAAGGATAGATGTTCAAGGCCCGGCCGATAAAGATGGCTATCTAGTAGTCAAAATGTTAAAGAGAAATCTTCTCACATATGACATACTAAGTTAATAGAAATTTAGACCTACACTACTGTTCAAAACTGTTTGCATTAACATTTGGTAGGATGCATTAACATTTAATCAAGTGACAGTAAAGACTTTTACATTGTTACTAAAGTTTTATCTAAACACTGTTCTTTTGAACTTACAATTCAATGAATCCTGAGAAAAAATATTTTCCACAAAACAATTAAGCAGCACAGCCATTTTCAACATTGATAATGATAGGGAGAGTTTCTTGAGTTTCTATGATTTCTAGAGTATCATCTGACACTGAAGACTGGAGTAATAGTCGTCATATGAATACATTTTTAAATATATTCAAATAAAAAACTGTTCTTTTAAATTGTTATAATATTTCACAATATTACTGTTTGTACTGTATTTTTCATCAGATAAAAGCAGCATTGTTGAGCATAAGAGACTGTCAAAAACATCATAAAAAAAAAATCTTACTGACTTCAAACGTTTGAACGTTATTGTAGATTATGCAGCTTAAAAACGGATGGTTAAAAGTTTCAACCCACAGATAATGCTGAAGAACAATTATGTAAAATTACATTAGAATTTGCCATTTAAAAGCAGGTACAGTATTGTATGGTTTTCACAAAGCTTGTAATATTGCACACAAGTCCAATTTTATGGTGTTTTTGTCCTTTCTGAAAGACAGTGTCAGAACATAAAATAATACAACAGAATGGTAACTTGCAATTCCTTCAAAACATATACAGTGGTGTGAAAAAGTGTTGGCCCCCTTCCTGATTTCTTATTTTTTTGCATGTTTGTCACACTTTAATGTTTCAGATCATCAAACAAATTTAAATATTAGTCAAATTGCTGCTAAGGGTGGCCCAACCAGTTATTAGGTTTAGGGGAAACCCTTTTTCGGTTATTAGGTTAAGGGCAAACACTTTTTCACACAGGGCCATGTAGTTTTGGATTTTCAAAAGTGAAAAAGTGAAGTGACATGTGGCCAAGTATGGTTACCCATACTAGGAATTAGTGCTCTGCGTTTAACCCATCCAAAGTGCACACACACAGCAGTGAACACAAACACACACCGTGAACACACACCCGGAGCAGTGGGCAGCCATTTATTCTGCGGCGCCCGGGGAGCAGTTGGGGGTTCAGTGCCTTGCTCAAGGGCACCTCAGTTGTGGTATTGAAGGTGGGAGAGAGTGCTGTACATTCACTCCCCCCACCTACAATCCCTGCCAGTACGAGACTCGAACCCGCAACCTTTGGGTTACGAGTCCGACTCTCTAACCATTAGGACACGACTTCCCCCATTTTGTTTTCCCTTAATAATAAAAACCTTAATTTAAAAACTGCATGTTGTGTTCACTTGTGTTATCTTTTACTAATATTTAAATTTGTTTGATGATCTGAAACATTAAAGTGTGACAAACATGCAAAAAAATAAGAAATCAGGAAGGGGGCCAACACTTTTTCACACCACTGTACATAACGCCTCCTAGTGGTCATAATTTTTTTTTTTTTTTTTGACATTTATAAATGACATAAATCAAGATAAAAAAACAGCCATGAACTTTTCCAGATATTTTTGAGCATTTAAAATGATTTGGCTCGCAGGTACATCTTCTCTAAAATGCTGTCAAACTATCTGACCGAGGTAAATGCTAGGGCTTAATGCACATTACCACCTCCTCAATGTGAAACTTTCATTTCAACTGAAAGACAAGGATACAAAGGCTCCAAATATGAAAATGGGGCTGAAGACGTGATTCTGAAAGGTGAAGAGCGCCAGGCCCATGTATGAGAAGATGAAGTTCTCTGCTAGGAAGTGCAGCACCTCAAACAACTGCAACAGCAAAGAAACATGCCACACATGAAGCTGTATGCATCTGACATCAGCACATTTGGTCAACAAAACAGCTGAAACAACATTCACAAAAGCAAAATGACACATTTTCAAAATCAAGTCCTAAGTGTACTAGAAATACATGCTCCCCCTCTGTATACTCTACAATGCCTTTTATAATTGTATGATAGATCTGAAGTTGAGACCAATATCTTCAATTCCTGTGACTATAACTTCTAACCCTTCTCTCTATAGATGGGAGATTTGATAATAGCGAGTCCGGCCCCCTGGAGAGAAATCCAGTGCCACAGGGGTGTCGTAATTACTGTATGCACCCCACTTCACTTCATCACACATTGCACTACTCTGACGACACCACAGGGGTGCTGGGAATTCACTTAGCACTATCTCTCGACTTATGGCCCCCCTGCATCAAAGCATCTTTTGAAGTAGAATATGCAGGTCTCCCATCCCCCCCCAAAAAAATCCTTGTTGCTCTTTTCTACATACTTTACTTTTTCAACTTCGTCACAGTTCATTTCCCCCTGGTTTTATACCAGCTGCTCTGAAAGCAACTAAAAGTCAACGGTTAATATATTTTACTTGGAAAAAAAGTTCAAATATTTTACCTGTTTAGTGCGTTTGGTTGATTCCTCAGAGAGATTATTGTAGGTATAATGGGCCTGTGTGATTCCACAAAACAGCACAGCGACAACACCTAAAATAGCAAAGGATATCAGCATCACATGTGCCTTTTTTCTTTCAAGTGGGGGATGGGATGCAATTTCAGTACAGATTGGAGGTGACTAATGAAACAACCAGATGATAAGTGCAAACGAATGAACACATTTACACATCAAGGATGTTATCATTCAGCAACACGGCCTGCCCAGGTACAGCAATATGGAGGAAGTTTTAAGTTTTTGAATTTTATTTGCATATTTTTATGCAAAGGATTTGGCATGAACATGAATGTAACATTTTTGTCATGCTAATAAAGCACATTAAACCTGAGCAGATGATTTTCTAAACACCAGAAAATTATACTATTATTGCAGCTGATATTTAACTATAGCAGGAAATGCCGTGCTGTTCCTAGAGGGGAAGCAGCTGCAGCTTCATATTATATGTTTGACCTCTGGGTGACCCAGCAGATTATACACTATGCTTTCATTACCAACCCACACAAAACACGCACCTGTGAATCCACAAGCTTCAGCCAGTAGAAAAGTACTCCAAGACATGAGGAAGAACAGAGCAGTCTCCAGCAGAGGGAAACAGTGCAGCTTGGTGAATTTTGTCACGTTACTCATCAAAGCTTGCTTTATTTGACAGTAACAGCAATATTGTGAAAAATTATTAATTTAAAATAGCTGTTTTCTATTTTAATATATTTTAAAATTAATGACAAAAAGCTGAATTTTCAACAGCCATTTCTATAGTTATTGGGTGTCACATGATTCTTCAGAAATCATTCAAATATGCTGAGTTAGTTCTCAAGAAATATGATCAAAATCGAAAACAGTTGTGCTGCTTCCTATTTTTGTGGAAATAGTGATGCATTTTTTCAACATTTTTGATAAACAGAAAGGTAAATAACAGCAACTATTTGAAATTGATTTTTATAGATTTTTCTGTAGATTTTGAAATTAGATTTTTGTACGTTTAAAAACACTCACTGTGACTTTTGATAAAAAATGTATATTCTTACTGACTTTTGAATGAATATACAAACAATGTATATACAAACTGTATTTACTAGGTACTCTTGACAGAAATCAGTCACTGTTTAGAGGATAATTCTACAGTGTTACTAATTTTACAAATAGGTAAAAGAATCAACATCACAATGAAGCTAAAAGGGCATCAACACAACTTATTCGCATAAACCTAAATATATTTAGACTTATTTAATGACAACATGCAAAAGGATATGAGGGCAGTGACTACTCCAGTGACTGCACCCATAGCGAAAGAGCCACTGAAGATGCCCAAGAAGATGCCCACCGATTTGAAGAAGGCAGAGGCATCAAATGTGTGTGTGTTGGCTCCTGAAGGCTGATACGCCACAATTGACCTGCATGCCAAAAACAAAACAATCCAAATCATTAAATTAACTGACTATGCTGATCTGATTACACAGATTGCCTGAAAATGCACATTATTTTATTTTAAAATTATTTTTTATATATGCATGCTTTTTTTCCCCCAACTAAAGTCTAAACAACACCGTTTTGCTGTGATAATCTGCCTATACTGACAAATTGTGTAAGTGGTCCCAAAAAAGAAAATCAGAAACTATCAGCTTTAGCTCATTGTGTCCAAAGGGGGGAGTCAGAGCGCCATCCTGAAACACAACTGGAGTTGCAGCATTATACATTTTTACTATTCAGCATTACAGTGAAAATGTCCCCAGCACCCCCTCTTGTGCTGGCAGCCTGGGAAATCCCACCAACTGCCACTGACCAAGCACAGTGATTTTAAAAATGTTTGTAGCAACAGAAAGGGAACAAGAAAGTGATACTGTTTGAAATTGGGACTTACGATGAAAGGACTATGGCGACTGCATCGTTCATGACACTCTCTCCAAACAGCAGTGCATAGAGATCACCATCAGCATGAAGCTCATTAAAGATCGCAAGCACTGTGACTAAAAATCACACACACAAATCAGCAACAAAACGTATTGAAATCCTGAATGGTAATGCACAACTTACTAGTCAGTTCATATAAAAGATGCTAAGATTTCAGCATTTAACAGCAAGTTTATTTTACCTGAAAAGAGAGCAAAGACAAAAATGGAGGAAGAGAGAGATGAAGTACCTGGATCTGTGGCAGATATTATGGCACCAAAGAAGAGGCAGTCTGTGTAGTAGAACTTGTCAGTGAGTTGACCCAAAACCTGCATCAGTTTCACCACGCCATACATGAGGTTTCTTAAACAAAACAAAACAATTTCAAACCTAAGCTTGTAAGACCACAACTCAAAGGGAAGCTATGTTTATAATTGCACATTACAATACTATTCATACTATTTGCTTGTTACTGAAATATTCCTTGTATTATATATGAAACAAACAGGTAACCAACTACATTTTCAAAAATGTGGAGTATACAACAAAGCACACTGCTAGAATATTGTATCCCACAATGCAATGTAAGTTGACTTTTCACTGTGTAATGTGACAAATGAACCTGCTGATATTAAACCAGTTTTTAAACATGTCTGACACACTGATATTTAACACTGAAAAACCTTTTTGCATTACCGGACAAAATGTGCGCTCAAGGTACTAAGCGTGAAGGTGGAGCTCATACGACAGCAAATGAAGAAATTAATCTGATGGTGGCTGATTACTGGTGCCATAAATTCCACTACGTGCCTGAACCTGGCTCTTGTATGTCACTGGTTAGCACACAAATAACTTTTTTAATAGTTTAGGTTAGAAAGTGTATAGATTTACATGCTGTAACTGACCACCTTTTGTATTTTTTTTTTGTTTTTTTATAAGTTCACTTAAATCGTAATCAAAAGTAGTCACTCCATAGTATAGTTCTGTTTCATCTGTAAAATTTGTAAAAAGTTTCTGAGGCATGTCATGGCTGATCCACTGTCTGTAAGTAAAATATTTCATGGTCTGTGGGAATATTTTGAACCTTAGTTACTTACCCAACGACAAAACAGGAAATGGCCGTGCCCAGGAACGCATAAGTTATGATGGATCCTAGGTTTCTGAAGAAGTGTCTCTGGAGGAACAAGGAAGAGCATGTCAAAAAAAAAAAAAAAAGGAAGTGTAAAAATATCCTTGTCCTGAGAAAACAGTTCATTCTCTGTTGTATGTATTTTTATATAATAAATACTATATCAGCAAAGGCTGCATTTAAAGGGTTAATTCACCCACAAAATGAAAATTATGTCATTAATTACTCACCCTCATGTCGTTCCAAACCTGTATAACACTTCATTCATCTTCAGAACACAAATTAAGATATTTTTGATGGAATCTGAGAGCTCTCTGACCTCTCAAAATATCGTCAAAAATATCGTAAATTAGAGCTGCACAATTAATCGAATCGCGAAAGTAATCGCCATTACATGGATGCCACAATTACATAATCGTTCAAAGTGGCAATTAATCCACTTAATTGTCCACTTATGTTATTCTGCACGCTTTAAGATATGTTTTTTTTTTATTTCTACATGTTATCTTAAGGGTTTTTCCATTGTTTTAGTTTTAGTATAACATTATAGTACCATTCATATTTTTTTCATATTTTTTAAACCAATCCGATGTATATTTGACATTTGAGGC